GTGAGGGTGAGGGTGAGCGTGCGAGTGAGGGTGAGGGTGAGGGTGAGGGTGCGAGTGAGGGTGAGGGTGAAGGTAATGGTTTGAGTGTGAGTGTGGGTAAGAGTGTGAGTGCGAGTTTGGGTTTGGGTGTGCATGAGAACATGGTTGTAGTTGTAGATGAGTCTATCTTTCTTGAGTAGACACTCACACCCACCCACATCTACTTAAAAAAATGCTAACAACAATTAGATAAAGTTTTTTTACATGTGAGAAACGATACATGAATATTCAACGAGCACGTGGTATAGCGAGCGACTCTCCGGCGAGCAAGTGTCCGTTTTTGTATGGAGCCAAGCAAATGTCCTACGAGCATGTATCCGGCGAGCAAGTGTCCACGAGCAAGTGTCTAGCGAGCAAAAGTCCGACGAGCAAAAGTACCGCGAGCAAGTGTCCTAGATTCATTATTTCTATCCTTTATCTTTGATATTACTGATTATGCTAACTTAAAGACTATTTAAAAATTAGATGCTATGTTATCATTTTTTTCTACCTTGTATAATCTGTTTTTAAAGCACCAGTTCCAGCATATTGAAGACTAATAACATCAGCATTATCTGCCCAAACTAAACAAAAACAAAATTCAATCAATATAAAAAGAACAAAATAACATTTCTACTAACTATTTTTAAATAAAGTACTCAATTGTTTATATGTATCAATATTTTCATTATATTTAATAACATTATAATGTTTTAATTGTTGTTCTAATATTCGTTTAGCAAGTAATGTTTGTACAACATTTGTACGATCAAGACAATCAACACAATTTGTACGAAATACACCGGTTTGTTGAGTTTGTAAAGCACCATCTTTAGCCATAGAAAAATAACTAAAAATTGAAATATTTTATTTTTATTTTGAAAATATATTATTCTTCTATAGTACCTATAATCATCTTGATCAGCTATAATACGACCTAAAAGAATCGTTAAACGATCATAACGCATACCAGCACATTCTTTATGAAAATCGAAATCTTCAAATCTATTATTAGAAATAATTTAGAAACTTTTGTCAAATAGATTTTTTTTCTCTCTTACTTAAGATAAGGATTTTGAGATGTTTCATATAATTCTCGATATTTTGCATTTAATTTTCCTTCTGCTCCATGATGATTTGTCTATAATACGTATTCATTGAAAAAAGAAAAGAAATAATAAAATAAATTTCTATTACAAGACTAAGAAGAAATTGTCTGCCATAATAATATTCTTGTTCTTCAAAATGTTGTCGAAAAGCAGTCATCTAATAAAAAAATATATGTTAAAGAAAATGTCGTACAGATAAGATATAAAGAAAGTTTTATTACATGATTATTCGATGGTAAAACGGTGACTTTTGGTTTATAACGAAGATCAGGTAATTGCGCCCAAAAGCACGGCACTGAACCACGTGTCTATAAAAAAATATAGATAATTGTTATAGACAATAGGACATTCGAGATTTATTCATAGTAGTTTTTTCATACCTGTACATATGAACAAGCAATACTATCCAATTGCAGAATTTGTTCAGTTTCAACAAAATTTGCTACTTTCCCATCATCATCAATTCCACGAATAAATAATCTAAAGAAAAAATCGATTAACTTTTTATTTTAATTCATATTCTAAATTAACCTTGTTCCTGCTCGATAAGTACTTCTTCGTGAAACAACACCATAAATAAATGATTGTCCATTAATATTAAACGTATGAAGTGCAACAACTAAATCATAAAACAAAGAATAATCTCTATCGAATTTCTTCTCTTTTTTTTAACATACATCCGTGAATAAGTGGTAAAGCAAATCGTGCAGCAGCTCGATTACTTGTAAGTTGAGTAAGTAAATAACGATTCCATACGAAACGTTGATCAGCACGTTCAATAAATGGTGTCGAATGAAAATCAGGTGGTGATGTTTGAAGTCGTTGAAATGTATGTGTTATATCATATGTATAGGAAAAATAGAAAGCTTCTGTACGTAGAACAAGTTCAATCATAGATAAATATTTTGTATTATATTTTTGCTAGAGGAAAAACAAATTTTTTTATTAATAAATATTTCTTTTTCGAAATCTACTTGATATTCATTTAAATGAGACATATTTCTTGCATATGGAATAATATCTGTTGTTTGTACTTTATAAATAGCTTGTGCATTTATATCACCTATACGAACTTTAGATGTAATTACAATTAAACAGGGTCCTGATATTAAATTAATTATTCCTATTATTCCATGAATAGATCTTCGTGTAGCTCCATCAACATTTGGTAAAGTAGCTTAAAAGAGAAAATGAAAATAATTCATAGAAAATCAAAAAATAATGTTTTACGATGTATTTGTATATCTTCATGTGTTCGATCAATTACAAGAAATTCTTTTGCATCACGTATCATTGGTTGAATAACGATATAATCAGGTAATAAATGACTAAGAAATAATCAATAATTTTCGTATTAGAAAAAATCGTTTTTTGATAGTTACAGTGTATAATTATCAACTATATTCTGATAGTAGGTACCATTAACATCACTCCATGACCAAAGAGATGTATCTTTTGTTGTTGACATTGTCATTACTATATTGATGAGATTAAAATTAGAACAATGTAGAAATAATAATGACGTTGACCTTAAAATATATTCATACGTATTCAATTCAACGTAGCAAACGATCAGTAAAATACACTACACGATAAAATGATAGATCAATAGAACGAATCAAATGAAAAGCAAATTCAAAGAATTTCTCTCATAAACTTACGCCATCTTTTGCAAAACTGCACGTTTCGTTTCAAGAGGGTTTAAGCGATTATTTTGCAAATATTTAACGTAACTATTAGAAAAAATGTATAAAAGATAGTGATGAATTGTTTTCTTCTTTATGCAACTTATTCAGACATATATATATCTGCCGAACAGTTAGAAATACGTAGTAAGTACTACATAGTCACATATAAATAATTGGATTATTGCTTTTCAATAGATATTTTCTTCTAATGATATATAATAAAAGAACATCATATGAGTGTAACACTGACATTTATATCTACCGCTTATAAATAAAAGAAAACGGCAGAATACCAATGCTACATATATGTCTCATGTATAACTTTGAATTTTGTACAAGAAGCGAGTAAGACGAATTTTTGATCGAGGATAATGAGTAAGATACGGAAGACATTCCTCGTAATTCATCACTCAATTAGCACCTTTTGCTCAGGTACATCCTGTTCTTTGCTGAAATATATTTCTACAACGCGCAGCATACGTCATCGATAAACCTACTTCCAATTAATATTAATGCCTCAGGAAAATGAACGTAAGTACATGCTATGGATATTAAGTTTAATAGGTGTCTGTAGAGATTACAGGTGTAATATACGGATAATGCCGATATATTATAATGAGTAAATTCTAATTATTTTATATTAAAACGTTCAGACAATCTTTCTTAATATTGGTATTAACTTTTTTTGGAAATAGGAATCCAGTCTTGTTTGATCTTTTTATTCTACAAAAAAATTTATATTAATTCTATCATATTCTTCAACTCAAGTTCATAATTAATAAATCTGTTCTACTTCTTCTGGCATTTCTTTCCCTTATTTAACATTTCATAGGTTTTTTTATTTATTCTAAACAAAAACTTTTCAACAATTTTCCATTAAATTCAGCTAATCATCTTAATTTCATTTGTCTGCAAGAGATAGAATTATTTCTAAGCGGTCTTTTATATTATAACAAGTAATATTGTGCTTAACAACTCGTTTTTATTTTATTTTACTCATTTACTAACCACTTTCTAAAGAGAACAGTATGACATGACCATATCAGTTTTTTATGTGATGTAGACATTATTTCTTGTTTAGTGATAATTATAATACTTTTTTATTTTAATACATAATATGCTGAATAACAAACAAATATAAGAATGCACAAATAATACATGTAAATTAAATTTTTTATTAATAAAATACAATTGAACTGATGTTAATTTGATAATCAACACCTTTTCTTAACGAATATATTAACAGTATCACAAGATAAACGAAATAAATAGTATTCTTCCATCATTCATTCGAAGCATTTACTCGTATGTTAATAACGACTATGACGAGCGTGAAATATTTTCTTCATCAATCGAATAAATTCATTTCTATACACACGAGCTGATAGAATATATAAGAAAAATGCTGTTGTTACAGTTAAATAAAATGGTAATTTACAAATAACAAAAACAATTGAAAAATAACTAGTAAATCGTATTTGTATAGGAAGAATTAACATAAAAAATGTTATACAAAATGGTAAAGTAAGAACAATATGCGTACCAACTTGAAATAAAAGCATACGAGAAAGTTGACCTTCTGTTCGACGATAACGTGAAATTTTAACCGGTCGAAAACGAACTTGTTTCGTATTATAAATTGTTAGTAAACCAAAGAATATCATTAGAAATGGTGCAATAATCGTATAAAGAATTAAATTAACAATAAGAAAAATTCGATTGAAAAGTATATCAGATCGAATGATACATGAAAATTCTTCATTATATGATATATCAAATGCTATTAATGCACCAATGAAAAATACGGCAAGTATGAAAATAAGTATTCCAATTGTCCATCGAGCTATTCGAATATTACTTAAATTACGTGTTTGGGCATTTATTGAACTAGCACAATATCGATCAATTGTAGCAAGAACAATAAAATAAACTGATAAAGTTGGACAAAAATTAAGTAGATAACTAAGAATTTTACAAAAAATTGTTAAATATTTAGCTGGATCAAGATCATAACCATCAGCTAATAGATTACAGATAAGTAAAAAACTAGAATAGAATAGATTTGTAATTGCTAATGCAATAAAATACAGTGAACAAGAATGATTAATTAAAGTTCGTCTTGTAAGTAAAATAATATTGAGTAAATTACTTACTACACCAAGTATAATAATAATTGGAACAAATATTCGTGTTAATTGAACATCAACTTGTATGAATAATTCAGACATTAGGTTTTGTGTTCGTCTGGAAATAAAATGAGTCAAAACATTGTCTTATAACTAGATGGATGATAAGTACTCAGGTGCATTTCAACAACGCAAATGCGAGTGAGAACTTAAACATGTACTGTTCCTCTTCCTCCTACGCTCCCTAGTATGCTATCCATTAACTAGAATAGAAAACGGAAATTAAGATACTGATTTCTATTCCTCATGCAAGAAAATATTATTTCAGTAAGAATCAAATATTTTATTATACAGAATATCATTGAAAATAAATAGTAATCATATTCTATAGTCACAAAGGCAAGAAATAAGTCTCTGAACTTCCTTTACTAAGCATATTTTAGAATTTTATAGATTAGTTATGAATCTTCTCAAAAAATGATCTACCGTTATGCCAAATAAGTCCTATACTCGTCTTACGATATTTACACATGAATATTTTATATTAATGTATTACGGTGTACCCAAATGTAATGGTGTCATATTTTTCAATAATCTCGTGAGCTACAAAAACTATAAAACTCATTATGTTCTAATTATGCTTTAAAAATGATCCGCTTTGGTAAAAATCTCCAATTTCTATAAACATATTTTAATCACGTAACGCTGTGACGTAAAAGGATCCAAAACTTGAACTACTCATTCTTTTTTTTTATATAGTCTAGTAAAAGACGTTGTGTAAATGAAGTGCCATTAGCGTAAACTTTATAGAGCTTTTGATAACCTTCTTAATGATAAAACAATTTTCCTAGAAAAATTTTCATTCATATAGAAAAAACAAAAAATGAACATAACACTGTGTCGGCGAAATTGATCAAGTATTATTTCGTGAATATTTCAATGTCAAGCAAAGAGCAAAACTTGATTCTTTTATGATGAGAAAGATCTTGATTAATCGGCGAGGAAACATTTGAGAGCGCAGCTTTAGGACTTACTCTCAAATTTTTTGAAAAACAAAATACATTTTCTGGCACTTCCAAGCATACTCTACAACATGAAATAAACGCTTGTATTCAGCTTGGAAGTGTCACGCTGCGTGAGCGAGTCACCCAACGATGTAGTTATTAATTTATTAAATCTCTTGTATATTATCTTCAATAGTTTACTTATCAACATAAATTCCAGTCCAATATTCACTTTATATAAAAATATTCTTTATTACTCTCAAATGAAGATGATTTTAATAAAAGTTTATAAAAAAATTATTTTTTATTAATAATAGTACCGGTATACTACAAAATAAATATATATAAAAACTCATCACAGAGATTAATAAATAAAAGCAATTTAAAAGATGTCAATACTCCATTGCACTTATGGTTGTCTACTAAATTTTTTTACTAGATCTCGTACTGATATTCGTGTTGGATCTTGTTCGTTGTCATTTAAAGGTAAAGAAAAATATTGCGGTTCATTTGTTGTCACAATTGATTGTTCGTTTTTTAATACTTCTGTATACGTAATTTCCGCCGATACATGATTTCCGATATTTTCATAGATATTATTCATCGGTTGTTGTTGTGGTTGTAGTTGTTGTTGTTGTATTTGTAGTTGTTGTTGCTGTAGTTGTAGTAGTTGTTGTTGTTGTAATTGTAGTTGTTGTTGTTGTAATTGTAGTTGTTGTTGTTGTTGTAGTTGTAGTTGTAGTTGTTGTTCTTGTTGTTGTTCAACAGTAACATTCACATATAGGCCAGATTGAGATGATGGATTAGATATTCTATCGATATATGTATCAACAATAGGTTCCTATAAAAATGATAGTACGAAAGAGATTATAAATGAATTTATTTTTACTTTTTGTAGAAAAGCTGATGGAATCCATGTAAGAATATAATCATCTTTTATTCTTCTTCCAAACCACCATCCACTTGAATGTTTTTCATGTATTTCAACAATATCACCTCGTTGTAATGATACACAATCACCAACCTCATCAATAAAATCACTATGAACATAGAATAATTCGGGTATTGTATTGTTATGATGTTCATCATTATCATTCTAAAATTGATCGATAATAGTTTATTTCTATGAAAAAGTTCCTTTTTATATGTAATGATAGTAGAAGCAGTCATCAATTTTTATCTCCGCATTGAAATGGAAAAACTACAAATTTTCATCATTTCTATCATTATTTTTGAAAAAATCTTATCTTTAAAAATCTTCATGAAAATAAAGTATCTTCTACATACTGGTTCATAGTTATTCAAACTACTTAATCGTCGAATAAATGTATTTGATGTGTCTTCTAAATAAAATGAACATAAAATAAAAAACTGAATCATTTTTATCTACTTGTAGCATTTTCTGGAATAATTCGTCCTTTACAAGATGTTAGATAAACAGCTGGAAATTGACCAGTAATACCATTAAATCTAAAAAAAACATTACTATTTTGTATGTTATATTTCTAATTAAAAAAACTTTACTTGACTATCCACCATCCAGTAAATGACTTTTCGAGAACAGTTACAAAAGATCCTTGATCTAATGAAATTTCATCTTCATTATTTGCATGATATGATTTATTTACAATATAAGTTTCAGCTAAAATAAAAATATCGAAGTGAAGGTAAAGGAAGATAACAGTGTTTTTTCAACGTTATTTAGGAGAATCAAAAAATTTTGAATCTTACATACTCTCATTAAGAATAAATAAAAGAATTGCTGGATCATTAAACGCTACATCCACCACTGCCTTTTACTGTACAGTTCTATCTAGATCCGAAGATGAACCTATCAACAAGTTTGAATCTCGAAGAACTGGCAGTTATGTAATCACTATAACTCTACAACTTTCTTCAGAATATCTATCGAAAAATTCAACTTATTTAACTCTATTAGTAAATTCTGGGCGTAGTTTTTCCAGTTCATGTTAACTTTCAATATATTTTTTCTTCTTACAAGATGCTCTTGAAAGCGTGTCCGTTCTAGAAACATCATGTTGATTTTCAATTGGTTCCAAAAAAGCTCCTGGTACAAATCCTGTTCGATCACCATTTTGAACAAACCACCAACCTTAAATACAAAATATTTAACAAATTCTTTGAAAACTATATATATTTACAAATAACTAACCATTCAAATGTTTATGAATAACTTCAACACGAGTATTTCTTTTTAAAGACATTTCTATTTTTTCAACTGCTTGAAAATCATTTAAACATCGATAAGTAGGTAATTTTGATGGTCCACTAATAATGAGTGAATTTTTTGCAACTGATTTTTTGTCATTATTGATAGGTTCTTTTGGATTTTGTACATCAGTTGGTAATGATTGGAAAAATTCAAGAACAGCACGAGATCGAGATATTCGTTCAGGTAAAGAAATTAATGTCTAAATTATTTTAATTATGAACTGACTTTAAATATAGAGATTATCATTACTTGACAATAAATATTTAAAGCTTGTTTACGTTCTAAAGCAATTTGACGAATTTGACTTCGGCCAAGAAAAATTTTACCTGAAAAAATATTATAAATTCGTATCTTTTTTTTTGTTTTTGCTAATCAATATACCAGGAAGAAATGGTATTTGCCGTGATTGACTTCTATAATTATTCGATGGTGATGGTGCGTCTGCAAATAGATCAAGTAATTTACACTAAAAATCAAGAATTGTATATTTTCTTTTAAGTTAAATTTTTCGAGTTTACTTGAAGATCAAAAAACTGAGCATAACGTCGATAGATAATAAATATATTTGTCGGATTTGCCCAAGTTACTTGAATAACATAAACCTAAGAAGATGAAAATACGTATTTGATGAAAATGATGTTTTGTTTTCTAGCAAACATACGTAATGTTTTGGTCCTGGTCTATACCGTTTTTCAACATCGAGAACTTTAACATTCACCACATAACTATTATTCGTTGAATCTTTATCTATCATCTATAACAATAAGTCAAATGACTTGTTTTATTCTTCTTATTTTATTCAAATAAAAAACAAAAACAAAATTTGATGTTTCCTTCTTTTTATTTTTCAATTTTTACTTTTGATAATAATTCATTAATATCAAAATTCATTGATAAATTTTGTTGAGATTTATTTTCAATCGTTTTAAAATTTAATAATAAATCTTTAGTAGCAAACATTATCTCGTTAATATCATCGTCTAATTTAATCGATGATAAATGATTAAAATTCGACGATAAAGATTTTAAACAATTTTCTCGAGCATGATTTGTATCATCACGTGAAGCATAATTTAATACGAATATACCGGATTGATTTGAAAGTAATTTATTAACATTTTCTAATATTTGATTATCGAGAAATGCTGGATGTGGACAACGAAGTGGACTTTGACTATCATTATTATCCACATCGAATATTATCACATCATATATTGCTGAAAAATAAAAAACTAAATAAATCAATTCTATTAATTAAATATGAATACCTTTTTCTTGTACTTGTCGTTGAAGAAATTCAATACCATCAGCAACTATACATTTTGATAGAGTATCATCAAGACCAAACCATGTTTTAGCTATACGAATCATTTCACTATCAATATCAACACCTGTTAAATGTATCTAAATATATATATATATTGATAAATTCAAAAAAAAAGTTATATAAAATAAAACCAACTTTTGGAAATGCTCGAATTAATTTCATTGTTAATACACCACCACCAAGACCAATTAAAAGCCAATTACCATTCGGTTGAGAATTCTCTATTAAAAATAAATGCGAAGTTAACAAAACGTAGTGAACGATCGCTTTAGTGATATACTTTCGCAAATTTCTCATAATTTCGTAAGCTTTTTCGTAAGATTTTATAATTTTAAGTTTTTAAAAAAAACGGATTGGCCCATCACTATTAATAATAGGACTTCTAGCTATCGTCAAATAAAATCTATGATCATCTATATATATTCACTCATAACTACAGATTTCAATTAGTTCTCCAGAAGAAAATGACTGTATCCTATGTAATCTCAGAAAAAAGATGATTCGATTATTGTTATTGTTTTCGAAATGATAAAAATACTTGATATTTCAATTGAGGACCATCAAATAAGAAATTAACAATATGAATACAACCTGTCTAAGTGTGACGAAATAAAGTTTTTTCCCGTGTTCGCTTTCTATTTCAGTGAGGTGAAAACTCTGACATAGAACGTAGTCTGTGCCATAAGCTATATCAAGTTTGCTTCTCTTATTTGTGTTCCGCTCTAACCATTATATACCGTGACGGAATCAGATAAAATGGACCGTTATTTTCACTGAGTTCAAGGAAAACTAACAATTCTCCTCAGCGAGATGACTCATTGAAGAACAGTCTGTGGAAAAAATGAAGCTTAAATGGCAAGCTATCTGAAGAAAAAACGATGCTTAAGAAATACTGAAAGATAACATCACATCTTTGAAAATGTTTCGTGACGGAATCAAGTTTGATAGGGATATGTGTTTAGGACAACGTTCTTAGGCGTACACAAAAAAATTAGCTCATATCGGCTACGTTGTTGTAATGCTAGATCAATTTTTCTATAAAACACCCCCTCACACTGGTGGACCGTTACGTAGACAGGTCGAATACTTACTATTTGCAAGAAAATGACTTTTCAAACAAGCAACAATAATTCCATGGTAATCATTTTCTAATTTTGAATAATCAGGTTTCACTAAATGATATATTTTTTTTATAGGAAAATGAAATATTTTTTTGATTAATAATACATACAATCTTTGGAAGTTAAATCAATTTCACTTTGAATAAGGTTAGGATTTGAATCAAAACGAAGACGTCGTTTCCATTCATTATCATCTCCACAAAGACAATCTTCAATAATAAATGATGATGAATGTTCACGAACAATGACTTGACCAATGCCTTCTGATGATGATAGGAAAGGAACCTAGGTTAAATATTTAAATTATAAAATATAATTATATAAAACTTTAATTCGTTACCTGAACATTACTTGGTAAACTAGATGGTTTAAAATCAAGTACTGCCTCTGTCATTTCCGTTTTAACTTGTTCAAGATCACGATATTCTTCATCTGATTGTAAATAAATAAATGCTACTGTTGTATATTTTGCACTAGATATGATTTGTTGTCGACCAGCTGGTGTTGAATAGAGCCAATCAAGATTTCTATATATGCATGTAATGAAATTAAATAAATAATATTTATTTTTTTACCTTGATTTTGGTACAATGAATGCAGCAAATAGTTTATTACGATATTTTGTAACACTATTAACAACAATCATTTGATATCTTTTTTTTGCTTGATCTGTTTGAGAATATAGATCTATCATTGGTGTTTCACTGCCAGATACAAATCTATATAAAGAATAGAATAAAATATAACAAAGAAAAATCAATTATTAAATATAGCAAACTTTTGTTTAAAATCATATTTTTTGAAACATGTTATTTGACATTGTTGAATAGCATCTAGAGCTTCAGGTAATTGATTAAACCGCAGCCAATTAGTATCCGCATTGTTATATAATTGAACTTCGATTAACTGTAAAAAGAAAATAAATGGTATTTTAGTATTTGCGAGTGTCAATTAATCGATTGAATCTTAAATTTTATCGTTAATGACCTACTAGTAGTCACAAATCATGGCGCAACCGCAAAGGTTTATTACCGTAGAAACTTAGAATAACTACCGTTAATATTTTTCAGACCTAAACCCTCAGCTAACATACCGGATTTTTCATTATAATTTTTGTAAAAACAAATGCAAAAACAGGTAATGCAAATGTTTTACTTGTTTGAATATGATGATAACGTAGAAGCCATGATCTATTTAATAATTATTCTTATAATATTACATTTCAAAAACGTATAATACCTTACTTATTATTAAAAAAATGATTTGATATATGATCAAGTATATGTTTTTGAGCAAGTGTTATACATATAAAACGACCTGTCATACGAAGAACACGATCAACTTGATTAAGAATTTGATCAATATCTGACAGGACCTATTTTTTGTTTAAATAATTAAAACATATAATAAATTGTCTTCTTATTCATCATACTTGTTCACTTTTATTCGACATTAATGCATCAACAGTTCCTTTATCTAATACAACACTAAATTGATTATCATCAAATGTCATCTTAAATATAAAAAGAAAATAAATTTCTATAAGAATTTCTATATTAACAAACTTGTCGTGCATCCATTGGTAACCATTTCATATTAGGTCGTCGTTTTTCATTTTGTTTTTTCATTTGTTTTATAACTTTATCGGATAAATCAACGTTTGTTATATGTTCAATACCTGTATCATATAAATCACTACTTAATGTTGAATTACCACAACCAATAATTAGAACTTCATCACGAGCTTTTATATATTTGCAAAGAACATCTGCTAAATCAATAAAATCGGAATACCTAATAGAATACAAAATATTTTTATTTATTTTATATAGAAAATGAAGTTTTTAAACAAACCATTCGAAAGCTTCTCGACCAACTTTATCAAAAAATTGATCCCAGTAATCACGACTACGAAATTCATCGGCTGCTTTTGGTAATAAATTCATCTTTATTAAAAAGTGAAGTAAATCTAAGTAGATTTTTCCAAATATCGTCTCTATGACTCATGATATATGACTCATTTTTCCTCTCGTGATTTGTCCATTCAGAAATGAATAGAAAATGTGATTCAGCTTACTCTGCCATCTTTCTCCTAAATAAAAAAATAAAGCATTCGTGATTTTATCAATGCAACGGTAAACGATGAAATGAAAAAGACGATGCTAATAAATGTTTTTTTGATCCAGGACATCATTAAATATTTATGTATATAATTTTAGGAAACAATAAAGTATCGAACTTCAATTTTAGTTTTAAATATCACAAGTAGAACAGGAAATGGTAATAAAAATGATACTGTTAACTTGAAAGAGATAAAGGACTCCCATAGACGACATTCATATCTGCTTCCCCGTAGACTTTCTACTTTTTGAACTCAAGAGATAATGGAAGTTATTATAAATTTTTCTCTATTGTGTGTGTCATTCTCATCGAGAAGGCAAATAAAACCATAGTCGAACCCAACGTGCTGTTGTGCTTATTTATACTAATCAGTACCTTTCGAAGAGTTCATATTCCACTTAAATTCTAACTATTTTCCTGATCTTTTAGCGTGTTATATAATCTTGTAGTAACACTTTCATGATAAATCTATTAACACTTATAATATTCTGTAATTTTTTTTATAAGTTATTCAACAAGAGAAAAATTTAATTTAGCTTCACTTCATAACGCATTTAATATTACAAAATAGAATTTTTATTTCAAATTGAAAAAAAATACTAATTAATAAATTTCACACTCTGTCTAACTTCTATTCTGTATTGAATAAAAATTGTAGACAATGAAAAATAATATTCGCTGACAATGTACTTGTATGGAAGTAACATTAGCTATATATATTAACACATCGATATTTTTATCACAACTATTCTTGATTTTAAAAGTCCGATTTAATTAATTTGTGAGAGATAAATATCAACATAGGACTCTTTAGTTTCAAAAGACCTAACTGCATGTGTTCCAAAAATATAGCAACAAATTTTAATTAGTTTAATTATAAAAAGTAGTGTGTTTTTCTTTTTGTTGTCTTTAAATAATCTCTTGAATTATTTGTATTATCTCTAATGAAAATTTACTTAAATAAATCTTCATTTGAAAATGAGTGAACCTACCTGATATAATGTCGTTTTTATTTTTGTTTTTTATTCGAGTCGAGAGAAAAAAAGCCGGCTCAAACACCGAACAAAAAAAAAGAGCAAAAAAAAATGAACAGAAAAGAACAGATCAAAAGTAAAAAGAAACAAATAGAACACAGTGCGGATATACCGCATTACACTGAAAAAAAAGAAGAGAGAGAGATTTTGATTGAGGATGAAAAGAAAAAGGATGAACAAGGGAAGAAGAAAACTTGAATCGATCTCAGGATGTGGCTGGTGTCACCGTCAGTTGGAATTCACTAGCACTACCACCATTGGCAGATGTCGATGTTGCTGTTCGAGACGTAGACGAAGAAGAAGAAGAAGAAGATAAAACAGTAGCAGATGCGGGAATGAGTTGATCACCGGCTGAAATCGCATTTACTGTCACTACTGATGTAAGTACATCAGATGATGTTGTAGTTAAAGATGATGATACCGGTTGTAATGAGTCCAATTCATTTGATGATATTGTTGTCGTCATTATCGTAGGATTAGAAGAAGATGGAGGAGACGTATTCGATATATTTGTAGCTGATGATGATGTGGGTGAAAGACGAGCTTGATACCAATCTCGATTTTGTTCTAATGTTTCTAAAATAGCACTTGCATCCGGATAAACTAAATCCGCCCATGTTTCCCATAATGGATGTACAATAAATTCAATAAATCCAACTTGATGTTTTTCAACACTAGCTACACGTCTATCACACATGGGTGAAATTTCTAATCTTAGTTCAAGTTCTTTATCTCCTTGTCTCCAAAATTCTTCCATGATACGATCAGTCCATTTTATATAGATATCTAATGGTTTTGTTGGATTTGATAAATCAGCACAGTGAATCATATTTTGAAGCACCTGAATTCTATCATCATATGATTCAAGCATAATTATATTATTTCCTGTAACTTTTTTTGATTCAACCATTGTTTTTAAGTCCGCTAGTAATTGCATATGTTTCGACATATCGGTGGCTAAAACCATATCAATAACCATTTTACGTAGATTTTTTAATTGTTTAGCTGTTAAATGTGAAAATATATTTCTTTCTTTAGCTTGTAATAATTTAAATGCAACAGCTAAATGATGATTTTCTAGGACACTTTCATCATTATACATTAAAGCTAAGTCACTTCCTAAATAGAGAAAATAGAAACAAAATTGAATATATATTTTTCTTCTTCTTCTCATACTTGTATTAATTAGAAATTGATTTGTTACACCGGGATGATCAACATCATGTACAGCAGATGCAAATATTGCTGACATAATTTCCAGTTCAGTAAATACACCCTTTAGTTGATAAGAAAAAAAATAAATAAATATAAAAATATTTATTAAAAGTTTTTGTTATTTCTTACTTCGAGGGCAGAAGCATTGAGCAATACATGCATGGATTGACAGACATCAGCTCCATGGGCTTTATTATGATATGGCACTGATTGATAATGATCTTCAAGTGTGAGCAAATAAGAGATTAATGTATGAGGTTCAATAGCATATGTTTTTAGAAGTGAACGTTCTTGAAATATTTTATATGTTATAACTGTTAATGGTCGTTGACCACTTAACTCTTCTATACGAAATGTATCTAAACCCCAATCATTAATATGACTAAGTACAGAACGTAATTCATCAACATAAGGTGTATCAACACCTAATTCTGGTATTGGATTTGGTATTATAAATGCTGTTGTATGTATACCAGCTATTTGACCCATTATAGTTGATGATGACATGGGCATATTATCAAGTGTTTTTGTTGTTATAACTATAGTAGATTCGTCCATTTGAGGGCCACGAGATAAATCAACATCGGGTTCTTTTTTGTCTATTTAAAGAAGAATAAAAAAAAAACATGATATTTATTTTTAGTATTAAAAAAAGTAAAAAAAGAAAATTTCTATTTACCTGTATAAGTTGAATATAAATAATCACTAATTTGTGCTCCGGATTTATTATTTTCAGCAAAATGAGATAGTTCTTTATTGAGCATACGCTTAAACTAAAGAAGAAGAAGAAAAAAAAGTAATTTATATTTGCCACTAGGATAATGATGATTCATACTTTGAGCGAGGCTAAGTCAGAAACAGATTTATGTGTCTGCATCGTTTCTAATTGTTCTAAACACCAATCAAGTTCTTCTAATGTCGCTATTGCTTGTGATAGTGAACTATCATCTATTAATAGAAGATAAATTAAAATAAATTTAAAGTTAAAAACAAAAATAAGTTTTTACCTGATATTGTAGTTATCATTTTATTAGAATTAGGCGGACCTGATTGAGCATTACCCAGTTGACTTGTTCTCTTCGCTCTATTGACAAGATTGATGATGATAAAAACAATTTCTTTTCTTTTCAAAAGGATTATTTTACCTCTCCGGTGGTATATGAGTAAGATCAACAAAATTTTTCCGCACATTTTTAAGACTGGCAAGAAGCTGAGCAAACGGAGTGACGATCATGTCATCTTGATGCCTAAAACAAAAAAGTATATCTCATGAAAAACTTCAATCTTCTTTTTTTTTCTTCTTCTTCTTAACAAGAGTAAGCCGATTATATATTGATAAAAAGGCGTACCACTCGATTCTATAAATATTTGTAAGACTTGATGCTCGATCATTATCATTATTAGACGATGTATTATTATGAATAATAACCGAGCGGTAAATCTGAATAGGTTGTTTATGAATAAAATGACTACTACGCATTTTTTCTTATTGTATAAAGAAAATACAATTGAGATATTTCAAATATAATCGTAGAAATAAATAAGAAATGAAAGGATAAAATAAGAATGACGGCATATCTTTTAAAAAAACACAAAGACGTGACATGTCAGCATTCTACTTAAAATCATCGTTGTCATCTTTTTTTTCTTCTCAACTACAAAGCTTGACTGGAGAGAATAAAAAAAGAGAAAAACAACAGGAGTCGGCTAGGTCTTTTTTTTGTTAAAAGGCAAGCAGGTTCCATTCTCTATTGATGTGGAAATCACGATAACTTGTGTTCTATACACAGAAGAGATGACAGTTATTTGAAAAAAGAAAAAAAAAAGAAGAAGAAAAGAAAATAATAATAATAAAAGAAACTAAGACTCTTAATCTCAATGTCATATAGTTTTATATCTATTAGACAACTGTTATTATTCGAAACAATTTGTTTAATTTTTATTGTGTTTTAACATGCATCAATGATAGTCTTTCATGTAATTTTTGACTTTTAACAGGCGGCTTTTTTTTGTCTAACATTTCTCATTCTATTACTAACAATATCTCACATTATTTAATTATATAATACTTCTGTTGTTAAATTAATTTGAAGAATTACAGAATTATCTATTGCATAAATTAACTCAATAGAATTTATATATTTTTGCTGACTTTTTAAATAGATTATCTGATAAAATACGGGGGAATTTCTCTTCAATAAAAACAAAAGGTAAATTAGAAAGATTTTGATAGATTACAGGTAAAAAAATTAAAAGAATACCTTTTCATCCAGGAAACATATGAAGTTGGTCGAAGATGAAAACTAATTTCATTTTGATCAGGTAAACAAGTTTCTAATGAGTCTAAATGTTGTCGGGTATCAAGCTCAGTATGACTACGTGCTCGCATGGTAGATGACGTATGATATTTCTGTAACTATGACTGATTCTGTTTCTGCCTTTTCATGTTGTTTGCTTTTTGCTGCTGCTGATTGGTGCGGATGAGTAGAGTAGCAGAGAAAGACAAAGAATAGAGATGTGAAGAAGAGAGGAGAGAGAGAGAGCGAGTACGAGTACGAGAGAGAGAGAGAGACAGAAGGAGAATAAACGACAAGGAGGTTCTATAGAGAGTGAGCATAAGATAAGAAACAAATGTGTGTCGAACGTTGTTCTGTCAAAAACGCAAATGAAACAAACTCTGATTGCAATACAGGAACAAAACTCTAGCACCGGACGTGTAATGTGAATAAGAGGAAAAAAGAAAGAACGGAAGACGAGGACTATAAAACGGTCTAACATTATAATATGAAAAGAAAAAGAAGAAAAAAGAAGAAGAAGAAAGATTAAAACTAAAGATGTTCTAAGTCTATAAATATATGTAATATATATTTATGAATCTTACTTGTTAGATAATTTAGAGCCAAGTCTAAAAATTGGTTTTTTAAAAGCGCTTTTGACACGCTCCATGTTGGTTGTTCTCTTTTCTATTGATCAATCATTCATACTCATTCTCCTCCATATATCGATAGTGCGGCATATGTTTGGTGTGTAGTAGGTAGCCGACAGAAAGTCAGACACTAACGTATACCCCAACAGTACTACCAGGGGTACAGTTGGCAACAAAAGTGTGTGTGAGAGAGAGAGAGGCAGGGAACGACGAAAGAATGATTGCGAATTGAAATAATCAATTATTACGTTTTCTCTAACTGTTATTCATAATAATATAATATAAGAAAATAGGTAAACGAGATTTAAGAAGCAAACAGAAAGAAAAGAAGAAAGAAGAAAGAAAACAAAAATGAGGGCACAGAAGAAAAGAAAGTTATACTCTTTCTTCTTTCGTTCTTTCATCCTTCTTCTATTTATCGATTTAACATATTTTAACTACTTACAATTCTGATCCGATGGACGGATTACGCGAAATACATTTTGGTGAAAGATCATTATCACTATCACACTTATATAAAAATGATTCGCGTCTATGCATTCCACTACCACTTGTTGATGTTGTTGTTTTATTAATTGTATTTGTTGTACCATGTTGTTGATGATGTGATGATGTTGATGATATATTATTATGAGAATTAAGAATACCACGTGGTGATGATGATGATGAACCATCCACATCAAAGCTATATGACAAAAAGAGAAAAAAAAAGAATCGAATTAAATTTTTTTATTATCATTTTTATTAAAATAGAAATGTTAAGAAAGTAATAAACCATGTTCTTTTTACAGTCATATCATCACCACTACTACTATGACTATCACCACATGACATCACTTAACTGCACTTTGGGCATTTTCTTTTCTTTCAAATATCAATAAGATGCTCCATGTGCATCTCTCTGGAGGCAAGAAAGCATGTTTGTATATATGTATGTACACACGTGTTATTTTAACTTGATCAATAAAATAAAAAGTATCATAGGCAATACGATAAGATAATGATAAAGACGATAACGACGAATAAGAATCAGAGAAAAACAAAAGTGATAAAAAAGAAATATATATGTAAATGTATATAGTCGTCACGCTTCATTTACTCTTTATAATGCAGACACGTGAATATTTCGTTATTCAAGTACAATGAATTATTCAAAAAATAAACAAAAATTACGATTTCCTAACTTCATTAGATTATGTTCAATTTCTAACATTTGTTTTTCTTTTTCGGGAATATTATTATTTGTTAGTACAATACATTGATCTATATTTTAGTATATGTATTATGTTCATCATACATACATACTGTATGATTAGAATTACAACCGAAAAAAGAAGATGATTTATAGATCATCAAGTATATACATTGGACCCTAAAAATAGATTTTTAGTTTTAAGGAAATGAAGGTAGCCACCTCTTCATTTCAATAGAACAAAACAAGAATAATTATCTATTATCTTTGTTTCGAAATAGATTAACCTTCTCTCAATATGAAGACAGTTCTCTCGCTAGTCAAAAGAAATATTTATATTAATGAAAATTCTTTTCTTTAGGGAAATTTAGTTATTCTTATTATAACTATATATCTATCTATTCATACAGTTCGTAAAAGAATATTATTTATTTTGAGTGATAATTGATTGAATACTCGAGACATTCATGCGTCAAAATATCTTCTAAATATATTAGTTTATATTTCTTACTTGTTTTCAATCGGATTAATTCGTAAACTTCGTCGTAAAGTAGGTTTAAAATCATAGGAAAGACTTCGATTAGTATTATTCATTAAGATTTCAAAAGTTAATAGCAGAAAAAAAATCTTCTATCAATAGAAAAAGACAACTATGAAATGACTTCTTGCAGATGAAAATCTGTTTTTTTTCTTCTTCTTCTTGGTAAAATAACTATATATACATTAAGCAGAGAGAAAAAGCGCGATGATAGAATCTTTACGTATACATTGGGGAACTATTTATTCGATTGGTATACTAAGGCAACATTAATATGTACAAAAGTGCAGAAAAACATCTTAAGATTGACACTTAACTAGTTGTTTCTATGTATTCATGACAAGAAGTCATCGATCACGTCAATGATATATCGAAGTAAGAATATTCGCATGAAAAAAAGAAACAAAGAGAAACCGACCTTATTCCATCATCAATATCTCCCTCTTTGTTCGGTGTGGTTTGCCGTAGACTACGACGAAATGTTAATCGTCGACGTAGACGAGTACGTGGTTCACTCGGTAAATTATTTTGTTGCTGTTCTTGTTCTTGTAGTTGTGAGATTGCTAATGGCGATGTGTGATTAAATCTTTCGAAAAATGTTTTATTTCTTTTTAATGAGGTTTGTCTTGATTGAGGTGTTTGAACTGATGATGTGTGTGGTACTGTCATATTTATTGATGGAATTGGTTTTATTTTGGTTGGATTTGAAATCATTTGAAATGATGGAATTGTTGGCGTTGATGGTGTTGGTGGTGGTGGAGGTGATGGTTCTGGTAACAATGATGATAAAGCTGATGGTGATGATAATGCAAAATAGACGGTGAGAGTCGTCATGAAAGTAATGATGCTGCTACCAACGACGACGACGACGACGATGATGATGATGATGATGATGATGATAATGCCAAAGTAAAAATGGAGGAGTGAAAGGAATAAGTCCGGAAATCGACGTCGACCGTCAACGACGAACGAGCGACAACAACAACAACAATCATAATAAATCGAGATTCTCTACTTTCTCTCTTCTTTTTTTAGTCATCCGAACGAGGAGTAAAGAGTGTTTTTACAGAAGATAGAGAGACAGAGAGGAAGACATACACACACACACATACTCAGTTAGAACTACATAGAAGAGAGAAACAGTAGATAGAATAGTGATGGTATGTTGTTTGAAGATAGCAATGGTCTTTTCGATCGTTTTATTTGCGTTGATAGAACTACTAAGAAACTCTAGTTATTTCTAGCTAGAACTACATTGAAAAGATGCAGAACAAGAGAGAGAGAGAGAGAATGAGAGACATTCAACTTTACATTGTTGAAAGCAATCATTCTAATGGATTCCTTCGCATCGCCAAACTACAACAACACAGACATACATTCACAGTTTCAAGTTAACAAGTTCATTCATCGATCGAGTATACAACAACTACTCAATTCAGAATAATAGTAATTTAAACAACAACGTTTATTTTCTCCATGTATGGATTCTAATATATGGTAAAATATAAAAGATAGTCTTAGATTTTTATATTCATATTAACAATATATGAATGACAAGTTATATAACTATATATGTAAAGAATATATAATCTAATTTTCTTTTTTTTTCTGGTTATTATCAGATTCAAAACAATTGTGTCAAAAAAATCCAAGACATGGAAAAAAAATACTATTATTATCATCATAAAAATGTGCATGTGTGTATGTTACGTGGACTGTCTCTTCTCTGGAGACATATTATTCTTGTTATTGGACAAAGTAAATGATTTTTTTTTCTTTTTTTTCTTCGTCTTCTTCATCTATTAAATAGTGAACATGTCTTTTTATATTTTTTTTACAAACATACAATAATAGAGTCAATGTGTGCTTATAATTCTACCTGATATCATCTTTTAAATATATATATATATATATTATTTATATACAAATAGAGAAAAAAAATCTGTTCAACTGTTTTATTCTAGTTTTACTACGGATATAAGTGAAAAAGTCAAACGTTTCTTCTCTATTATCAACGAAGAATATTTCATAATAATAAAGGAGAAGAGAAGAAGAAAAAAAATCTCTAGTATAGATTTCTAATATAATATAAAGCGTAATTTTCAAGTAGAAAGTACTCTATACTTATTATTAATTTATATAAGCCGTTAATGTCATGATTAAATTCTTAATATGGATACAATTCATTTACCTGGTTTTGCTATTGACTATAGTATTACTATTACTACTATTAGTACCACCATTTATTCGTCGTCTCAATATAATCTGTCCAAGGCGAGTTAGTAATGGTGGATTTGTAGATGAAGTTACAGTAGGAGGAGTTGCGGCAATATCGTCGAGAGCTATAGAACTTCGTCGACGATTATGATTCGATGAAACACAAGAAGTGCAAGCTGAAGCCATTCCACCACGACGACGACGTTTTTTCGTCGATTTTGTTAATGTTGGTATTGTTGTCGATGATGATGTTATTAAAGTTTTCGTAGTTGTTTTTCGATGGTTTCGAATAATAGTTGTTGAAGGACGACGCGATGAAATACTTGATGTTGAACTTTTTCGACGTGTATAACCAGTCGTTGAAGTTTGTTCGTTTGATTGGATTTGAGAAGAATTTTTTCTCTCGCCGCAACATCGAAATGGAAAGGAACGGTTATTTGTCGAAGAAGAATATGTGTTAGTGGATTGTGGCGCTGTTTGTATAGCTTTTTTTTCTTGTTCAAGAAGAGGTTGTATTGTTGCTAGTAAGGTTTCCGACGATGATGACGATCGTGTGATCGAAATGACCGGCGGTGGGGGACTATTGGTGACACTCGTGATTGACTTCTATGTAAATGACGACAACGACAACGATGAAGAATCGACAATCGGCATACACACGAGAGCGATGTTGCTTATTGTTGACGAACTACACACATACACGCGGACGGAGGCGTTTCTTTCTCTCTCTCTCTCTCCCAGTCGCTATTACTGCTGTTGCTGTTGCTGTTACTGCTGCTACTGTGCTTGCTGCCTGCTGATGATGATGCGAGAAACAGAGAGCAACGACGATGCTCCTGGTGGCCGTGGCACCCGGCGCAACGCCACAAGAAAGCGCGCGACAAGGAACAGAACGGACGAATACAACAACACGAACGTACAGCGACCGCCTTCTTTTCCTTTTTATTCAGCCGTCCGTTTTTTCTTTTCTTTTTCTTTTTTTTCTCTTCTTGTCTTTTTCTCTCTATGTAACGTATGAAATAAAGTATCGGTGTCGTTAGCAAAAGGAAGACGTGTGTATGTGTATGTGTATTTAGCGGTGAGGACAACGAACGAACATCAACAACGATTTTTGCGTTCTCGCTTACTTATTACTGCAACAGTTTCCATCAATGCTATTCTAGCTACTATAACTATCGAACCGATAATGATGATGCAAAGACAGCAACATATCAGAAACGTCGTCGTTGCTTTAAATGTACTAAGTTAGAATAGTAAGCAAGCAAGCAAAATAAGAATCTACTTGCTCTGTTCTCTGCTCAAGGCCGTCTTTTTTTCTTTATATTGCGACATATATATATATACAAGCTTGTGTGTCAATCAGTGTGTATAGTGAAAACGAGTCTCGCTCGTCTGCTTTCTAACGATCAACACCAATAGCAATAGGAGATAATGAAAATGGAGAAAATAGAAAATAACGTTGTCACCTGGTATTCAAAGGCAAAAATCATTTTTCTTCTTTTTTTTGTCAAATATCATCTGACAACTAGTTGATTAACGTATTAAGAACGATTAGTTATCTAAATACACTAATAAGTAAATGTTGAAATCATTAGAGTGTTTCGAATCAATATTTTTCATATTTTATCATCATTTATATAATGAAAGATATGATTTGTTATAAACAAATACTTGTATATAACATTTGTTTAAGTAAAAATATAATCAACAAAAAAAATAAAAAAGAATAATTACTTTTGTATCGCTATATATATTATAAAGTAATAAATATTCTATTTAAAAAAAAGAAAGTATGATTTTATTGTGCCATATTAGATTAAATATAGATACGAAAATAAATTATCGCATTAGTACAAAACTCAAAAAAGTACGTATTTTTATGATCATGATATTTGTTTTCGTATGATGGTATCTATTTTTTTTTGTGGGGTGCAAAAATCAATTTAGTGTATTGGAAAGAATATGCGTAGTATTGAATCTACTTACTATGTAATATTTGGTGATAAGAATCTTGCAGTCATCTTAAATTTGTTTCATCTAATCAAAAGTGTATTAAATAATAAAAATCTTTTTTCTCTGTGCATACACATCAGTAAAAGAAGAAAAAAAAGGACAATATATAGTCGTTTTACGCCTTTTCTTTTTTACTCACATATAATAAATCATGATTTTGAGTTCAAAGCTTTTTGATTATCGAAGATCAATATGTGTTATAATAGATTTACGAGAATAGGTAAAGAAAAGATTTATTAATAGAGAAATTTTAAGAAAACCATACAATTGATGTGATTTATTATTATGGAAAAAAGAAAAATCTATCAATTATTTTATTCAACTGCATAATTATATTGTTATTCATATTTTTAATAAATATTCCATTAGCGCATATTCTATATCTTAATATTGACATACATAAGAAGCTTTTAAGAATTGCTTTAAAATTCTAAATATATAATTGAAATCTCTAAGAATAGTATTATAAAAATTATTCTTCAAATAAATACATATATATATATACAAAAGTATAAGCTATAATAACATCTCAATATACCCTTTTAATTATTTTTCTAAAACACAAGTGCTAATGAATACATCATAGTTAATTTCTAATACAGCGTGATAATCATTTTATCATGAAAATTAATTTTATTATAAAATATGAGTGTAGAGAGTAAAAATGTTTATTTAATTTCAAAACAAGTTTCTTTTTTATGGTGCTTTTTTCTTCTTATGTATAATATAATGTTTTTTACGATGCAGATCATGCTGGTATTTTAATCTCTATACTTTCATCGAAAATAGTCTATTCAGTTATTTATATATAATAAAAATATTGACTTGAGATTCTCTAATCGACTTTTCTTCTTTTTAATCGACAATAATGAAAAGAAAAATAGTCATGCAATATAAAAAGGAGCACATTTGACTTCTATTTGCAAGAACTAAACTACGATATATTATGAATAAATAAAATAAATTTGCTCACTTAACACGTTTGCTAGCAAGTGACGGTCCTATTGAATGGCGTCGTTCACATAAAGGTAATGCAAGAAAACGTCGATAAAAATCCATAATTATTAATATCTTAATACATATAGATATACATATGATTAACGAGAAGTTGATTTTGATTTGTAAGCGTTACAAATATGAACACATAGGCATAAATGTCGAGGACAAACGCCGGAAGGAAAGTGCTAATGAGACACGAATGAAAGCGCATATATATATATAAAATATTCAATGCTAGCATTTATCATTTTCTTCTTTGTTTTCTACTATATTTTTCTCTTCTCTTTTGTCTCATTACTTTTCTAAACACCATTTTAATTATAATAAATAAAAATAAAAACTTCTCACCTTAGAAAATCTGTATCAACAATATTTACAGATAATTTTTTATCAGAATTCCGTTCTGATGTATGTGGAACAATATTTCCCCATGAATGTCGACGTTCAGGATTAAATGATGGAACAATAAGGAAATGACGTATTGGTGATGATGATGATGAAGAATCTTGATTGAGATTTTCACCTAACGGCATGGTAATAATGATTGACTATGTTTCGTTTCTTTTTTTTCTTCCTCTCTCTTCTTATAGTCAATTACAGTCACTAAACGTTTTAGAATAATAATAGGACACGTACAACTCTATGCACACTGTTGCATGCTTTTGTATGTCTTGTGAATACAAAATAGAAATGTCGTGTTTAGGTCGATCGTAAAGACTATATCGATAGAATGAGGAAAGAACAAAAGCTGAGTACGTTTCATCGAAAGACGCGAAAACAGACACAATAAGCAAAACAAAAAAAGGAAGAACAGCTTGCTGTAATGTTATTCGACCGAATAGATGCTACTAATTCATATAAACGAGAATTGGTACTTCATGTAGTTTCTTGTTTCTTCTTTTTTATAGAAAACCATTAATGTATATTTGGTATCAATATTATGTCAATAAATAAGAAATATATAGCTGAAAGATGATTTGATTGAAATCTTCTAACACCTGTTTATCGTCGTAGATAGAAAACAAGTTGCCGAATAACTGTTGAGAAGTTATTGATTATATATTCGAACAAGAATCAATCACAACAAGTAGTATGAAGTATAATAATAAAATTATAATCGAACATTACCATCACAAATCGTGTGCATCATTTATTATGAAAAGAACTAAATATTAAATTAAGTATGCCTTTAGACACATCCTGCGTATAAATGTGCGTCTACTTGCTTCTTTCTTTGTTCTTACTCTTTTTTTTCCTCAATTTATCTTATCGCTGACCTACTGTCATTCTCCATCGATCATGTGTGATTTTTCTACTTGAATAAGTTCGATTATTATCATGCGTTTTTTTTCTCAGAACAGTTTCTCTGACACTTTTTTTTTGGCCAACAACAAAAAAAGAAGATAAATTAGTTTTTGCTTCTCATAAAAAACACTATATTTTCTATTCAATTGTATAGTTTCTTTGAATAAGACTAAAAGCGCTAATGGCCTCGAATAAAGCCGAACTTAGTAATCCATGATTTCTTCTTTCTCTTTTTTTTCAAGCATCATTAGTGAATTGAAAATAGAATAAGTAAACGAATATAACATAAATGTAATTTATGATGAAAGATGAGAAATATCAAGATGGTGATTATTTCCGACATGACTGACGTCAAAAAAAAAGAAACTTAAATAAAATTTTAACAATTTCTTGATCAAACATTATTTTATCGAACGTAGATAAATGATAATAATAATAGGTTTTCTAGTACATGACAAAAAAAACATTTTCTGGATTTATACTTATATTGTTTTACTCCTCTCTTTTTCTTCATAACGAAGTTCAATGGAATTACCCATTGGAAACAAAATCGTCTAGTAACTTTTTAAGAAGATTTTGTGTTAATGCGTTTAATTTTTCATAGATACATGTCTATTTAGTTCTCCTTGAAGAATGAGTAAGATGAAACTTTCTTTCATTAAGTAAAAGCAAGAATAGAAATATATGTATGTTCAATTAGAAATATATGTCTATATCGGTTAACCTTTCTAGTTAATAGATATACTAGTTCTTCTTTTCAATTCGATAATAATGATAAACGAATTAGTTTTTGATTGATGATCAATCATGTATGATTGTTAGGAAGAAGAAATTTAATAAAAAAATAAAAGAATAATTTTTTTCTTGTAAATACCTTCGTGTTTGAAATCTAGCATGAGCAAAACGTCGTCGACTATCAGCAGTAGCGGCCATTAATTTACTTGAAGTTTGTTCCAAATTTTTATATACTCACTACTTATATATGCATTATAATCTTCGTTATTTAGTCGTTTGTTAAAAGATCATGTTAGCTAGAGGTAGTAATAGTAATGTTGTTCTTCTTCTCCTTCTTCTTTTTCTTCTCTTTTTTTCCTTTTTATCGTTACTTTTCTGTAAGAGCGCGTAGTATTGTAGACGGCAAGTAGGAATACATCAACAGTCGAGATCGATAACATGTTCATTTATGTGTTTCCTCAACGCGTCTTCCAGCTATTAATGTTGACATAAGTACTTTTTTCTCTCTCTCTCTCTCTGTGTCTCTCGTCCTTTCTAAGTACTAAGTTGTGAAACATAGTCATTGGAATATACAAAATGCTCATCATCATCATCATCTTTTACAAAGTAATAACTGGAGCGGATTCTAGTGACAAGAAAAATATTACGTGTAACAACGCCATTGAAATATTATCTCTCTTTCGTCATTCTATGTTTGTTTAAACGCTGGATAAACTGACCTCCACGGTCGATATCGTATATTTATTTTAAAGTACATTCAATCTACAAAATATATATATGTATATGAAATATGATCGAATATAAATCATTTGCATATATGAATGTCATGTACAAAAAAAACATATTTTTTTTTATGATTCAATTCTATTAAATACCATTTAGAAAAAAAAATGCACTTAAAACACAACTATTATTATATCGTAGATAAAAACAAATGTATATAATTCATACATAATTGAACGTATTATTTGAAGACAAATATTAATTTTTCTTCTTCTAATAAAACATGAAAATATTCTTTTAGTGATATTATATTTTGACGTCAGAAATATACTTGAACTGAAAACGTTTGCTCTTGTCTGAGAGGGTACTAAGATACTTATGATAAAGTTATGCTTAATTGTTTCACAAGTATCAAAAAGAAAAAGAAAACTATATTTCATACTTAAGATATTACAAATTAGAGTCAGACTAATAATAATTTATCAACTTAATTAACAAGCAATATGTATTTCATCTGTCATATAAAATAAATATTACACATGAGTAACAAAAAAAAAACGACCTTGCAATTTATAATAGAGAAAAATTTGAGAATATTTCGCAGTAAAAACTACATTAATTCGTGACATAAATATTATATTAACATGTGTTCCTGTACCGGATGTCAATATCTCAAGTTGCAGATTTACGGGAAGAAGAAAAAATTTTTTTTTCACCCTTTGATGAATATTTATAATAAAGAATAGAATACTATTGAAATCTATTTATATATAATGAAAGCTTTTTGATATTGTGTTTTTATCAAAGTATCGAGCAACTTATATATTAAAAAAACAAAACTAGTAATTATTCATAGATGTTATTTCGGTGAACAGAAGAAAACTTTGTTGTATATAATAAATATATTTTAAAGATCTATATACTTTTCTCGGAAAGAAAACAGGAAAAATTTGTTAACTATCTCTGACGTATTAGTAGACTTTTTTTCTATATGATATTTTGATAACATATTATTTTTTTGTAATATAACTCATGAAAAATCACGTTTCAAAAAAAGATAGAAGACCTTAGTTTTGTAATTTATGAGTAAACGTTTGTACAAAGAAAAAAATAATGCTATTCTATTTTGTCATAACGGTAAGAATAGGGAAATTCAAACATTAAACGAAAATAATCTCGTTCGCGCTATCCACTGTAAACATCATCATTACATTGATATAATTTTATTATAATGAAGAATATGATACTGATTTAATGTAGCGATAAAGAAACATCATCAAGTTGGTTCAGTTGTTATGTTCTGTCAAAGTTTAATTTTTCCATTGAAAATATATATGCAATCTTATTATGACCTTTGTGTTAAGATAAAAAATTGTATCGTAGGTTAATTACAAGAATAGATGCAATTCTATCTTCTTGTTACATTTATTTTGAATGAGTAAATTATATTATCAGGTGTCCCCGGAAAAATAAGCCTCTAATATTTTGACCATATCTCGCTTATTAATTATTTGCAGCATGTCTCGAGATATGATGGATGTTATTTGGATAAATGAAAAGTACACGATTTCGTAGAGTATTTCAAGGCATAACTGATATGAAAAAGTTACTTTCGAAATATTAAGAGGCTTTCTTCGCTCAAGAAAAAGGGTCAATTTATGTCAGGAAATCCGAAATGGAAATCAATGTACGGGAAAAGAGTTCTTCCTTAGATCTTTCAGAAATGATATGATTTTTATTCAAAACTTCTTTGTCAATTAAAGAAATTGAGATTTTTCTCGATAGAACAGAAAGTGTTTTTGTCAGTTTATACTTTTGTCAATCGTGTATCTCAAACTTTGCTGTCAAGATTTATTTGACATATTTATGCTCTATTTTTGCTTGAAAAAGTATATCAGGATGTGCTATATGACAGAATCCTTCTTTTAAATTAAATATTCTTTTTATTAGATATATAGACACTGATATAATTAGACATCTATTCTTTGAGACTTTTTCAATTCATTAAACTTGTAATCTCTCTTTTTTGCTAAAAAAATAGGGTCTGTTATGCACCATAACATGATATACTCTTTCAAATAAAAACAAATTTTAATTGGTGAATATCGCGCTCAAACATAAAACTATACAGCTGATAATTGTATTATAGCCTTTTCACTATCCTTACTAGCATATCTTGGAAATTCCGACCGGTTTGGATGTACCGGAGCTGAGAGCGATGTTATTCACATAAATAAAAAAATTAAGTTGAGACGAATAACTAAAACAATATGTTCGTCTGAATGAATGAAAAATGAGTTTTTCCAAATTCAATATGAACAAATCTAAACGAGTGAGTAAAAATAAAGATCCCATTTACTCCTAATCATACGCTATTAAATCGCTCAATATTCAATTAAGTTCCTGTTATCTTTACTAATGTTTCGATTATTTAATCTAAAATATCTGATATTTCGTTGAATATAAAGAGATTTATAGAAAAGAAAAAAAATGATTGAATGTATTAAATATTAAACATCATGGGACGTTGTTGATCGAATCAAAATAAAAGATGAAAGAGTAAAACTTCAAAGGGAATCCATAATAACTTGAACTCTATTATACAAATATATAATAGAAGGACATTTTTATTTATTTATTTAATATTATTAATACGAAATCTACATACTATTTCGCATATCTTAGTTATTAATTCATGTTTATTATTTAAATCTTCATATATTATTGATTATTCACCTAAATATTTTACTCTATTAGGATAAGAACTATACGTAGTTCGATAGTATTTTGTTTTTGAAAATTCGTAAGATCTAATCGCCTGTTAAAATATAATTATCTAAGTATACTGAGAACTGTCAAAAATACAGACAAAAATTTAGACTTATTATTGGTAATGATAGGAAATAGGAAAACAAATATCGAAATAGATTGCTCGCGTAAAAATAATTATATATAATCGAATAGATTTACCGTGTATGACGTCGCTGATGATGTATGTTAAGACCAGTAACGGTAAGATAAGACATTGGTGGATGAAGAGTATTATTTGGATTGATTGTTGATGGAAGTGTTGTTGTACTTGTTGATATTGAAACATGTTGTCCAAGACTCGTCCGACTAAATTTAGCTAATGATGGTGAACATGAACTTAATGGTGACCGATTTAGTACATCATTTGGTGGTCGAGGTTCTTGTCGTGGTAAACAAAAATCACGAAGTGTGGTAGTTTGAGGTAAAACTGAAGAAATTGGCGACCATGACGGTGGAACTGAAGAAATTATACAACGACGAGTGGATTTTATTATTGGCCTTTGAGATGTTACTATAGTCGGATTAAATTTTGCTCTAGAAGATATATCACTCCATCGAGCATTCGTACTAGTCGCAGAACATGTTGAACATATACTAGAACTTGTTAAATCTTGTCGATGACGCGTACCAATCATAATTTTGTTTTTAAAAATAATTTTAAACTTACATCTAAAGAATATTAGCTGGCATTGTTATGTTTTACTTAATTGAATAGACTTATATAGGATATAAACATAAGAATAATTTAGTTAGTAATACCCTACCGTTTGTTTTCTTTTCTATTCTATTTTATTATGCCTTTTCTTGTTGCTCACAGTGATTCGTTCAAGTCATATTTATCAAAGGATAAGAATAAATAGACTGAGATACAACCACTACTAATGATGAGAGAGAGTAGGAAGAGATAGAGTTGTAAGTTCTGTTGTATGTCTCTCGGTTAGACTAGCGGCAATTATGGATTTCCGTTGTGTTTCACTATACTTATAATAAACTGAAAACATGCACATACGCTTTAGATTCTTTTTTTTTCTTCTTTCCTTCTTATAGAACAGTAGCATGCATCGAGTTAATTTAGGAATATTCATCTCCGGGGTTTTGCACGTTTGCTATCTGCCACACATAAACAGTCGTACACAGCAGGATAAGTCACTTATTGTTATATGTCAATATCACATATGAAATTTTCAAAATTGAACAAATTATACTATATAAATTGAAACAAAAGAAAAACGAACGAACCATTAAATAATTAGATTATGTATGTATTCAATTCAATTCAAGAATAAATATCATCTAACCATAAAGTATTATATTTCTTATCAAATAAATAATAGTCAATTATCTATCAGTCATAGATACTAATCCTTTCTTTTTCTTATCTTAAATAAAAACCTAGCCTCTATTGACTTTGATGATTATTATAGAGATATATAGAAAACAAAAAAATATTAGATATGTCTTTCGATTGAATATGATATTAGTTTGTGAAGTAGTACACGAATAAATTATTAATAATTTCTAATAGAAGAAAGAAATGTTCAAATAGTAATTTATGTAAATTAGAGATGATGTTTTCAATTTTTTTATTATATAGCTGCCATTTTGAGATGATTACAACCCTATTTGAATACAAGATATTTTTCAATGATATTGCTTCATCTTCTTCTTAACGTCATCTTAACCCGATTTTGTCCTCGATTTAAAAACATTAATAAGTTTGAACTGGTTTTTTTTACAGGATGAAGGATCTTTTATATGAATGTCATGTTAGTTTTTATTTTTCTTCTTACAACCAACATGCTGTAATGGAGAGTCATGAAGATCTTATTTTTATCTTATTCGAAAGTGCACTATGTCTAACACAAATATCTAATGAAGAAATAAATTACAGATAGTTTTTGGACGTGACAAAAATATCTGAATGAAAGGTGTCAAGAAAAATTCTCTATAATTTTAATTACTTACTTTTAATGTTTCCAATATTATATATTGTTGCTCATTGCAATAATTGATGTAGTATAGAAAAGAAGCAAATGTTTGTATATAGGTGTCATCATTATTTTACTCTATAAGCTGCACACTTAGTAACTTCCTATATTAACTTCGCCAGATGAATTTAACATAGAATCTTGTGAGTTAAGATTCGATGATAGATCTTTTCGTAGCCGACGTTTTATTATTTTCAACTAAATTCTACTCTGGGGATCTATGAGCGAATGATTCTCTCATATATAAAATCATACGATATACTATCAAATTTCGATGAGAAGCTTCTAGAATTCGATACAATCAATCCGTTCGACAAGATCGTCTTGGGACACATTGAGTCATTCATTTTTCTTCTTTCTCAATCTCTTCATCATTGTTATACAAAGAAGAAGAAAAATAGAATAGCAGTCATTGCAAAAATTTTCATGAATTAAAAAAAATATGAGGAACAGCGTAGTTGATTTAATATCATATTTTCATATAGAATAATTAAATAAAAAAAAAGTCTTTCAATCGTCAATTACCATTACATGTGCTTATGTAATATGTACTAGTAAAATTAAATTATATTCATATTCTTACAAGACTCTTGGGTGTTTTATCTAATTGTATTGATTATCTATTTTCTTTTTGTATAAAACTTTTGACAGTAACAATAGATATTTATACAATCTCACATTCCAAACTGCTGATGACATGATTGTTAGTCTAGAAAAAATAGATTTGCTATTCAATATGATTAAATGATAGTGAATTATATTCAGTCGGCAATGTTATTTCATAAAAATTTATTACACTACGCTTGATGAATGTTGTTTGTATAGATGAGAGGATCATTTATTCTCTATACCTTGTTTATTAGGGTAATTGTTTTCTTTACATTCAGAGAAGATGCTTGGTATTTTCAAATAAAAATAAGATTAATGATCATTTGTTATTGATTTGTACCTTTACAAAAGTCGTGAATGTTTTCAAAAACTTATTTTGCATACGGAAGTTTTCTTTTTCTCTGTTATCTATTACGTGTGACTATCTAGGTAACACTTGAATTTGTAATATGATCAAAATTAATATCAATAGAAAGAATAATTTAAAAATTTTCTTATGATAACTGATTTTATTCATATTGAATTTTATTATCAGCGAAAAATATTCATATACTTGTCTTTAAACAGGTTGTACGCAATCTCGAGGGCAATTACCACAACATTTCTGAGCATCTGGACAGTCGCTATCAGTAGAACATTTAGCAAGGCAGGAACCTATACCAGTTGATGGGTTTGGACATGAACCTGGTTTCTCGGATGATTGTGCACGAGGACAGCAAACAGCATATGTATCATCGGGTGCAATAATACACTCATGAGTTGATAGACAATCTACATGACTAGCACCACGTCCACAAAAATAGCCTTTAAGTGGAGCTCCACCATTTTTACATGGATTATCTGGTTTATGAGGACATCGAGCATTCAACGGAGTTACCAGAAATACGATAAATGCAATAAAGATAAACTTGAGTAAAACCATCCTTTGTCGAAAGAATATGTCAATATTATCTATATATGAAACTGTTTTCTGTGTTGAATTTACATGTATATATATATATATATTCACATAATGATTTCAATAGATAACAGCTGGACAAGTATGGATCTTTTCATTTTATAATTGATAAATTTTGTTATTGTTATTATTTATCCAGGCACACTCTAAGTCTTTCTAATGTAGAAATAATACTGACAAATAATAGAAGTAACAAAACTTGATGGTGTTTTATATGTTATTTTTATTATTGATTTGTAACAATAATGCTTTAGAAATATTTCATAGCAGATGATACATTAGTATTTGTTTTTAAAAAAATCTGTTACTCTTCTATCTGTTTTGATGAAATAAACTTTTTACAAGCTGATTATACTTGTAGTATGTCAGATTTTATTTACATGGATTATTAAACATGAATCTTGATTAATGATGTCAACGTATATAGAACAAATGCAGTTCATATTTTAATTACTATTAAAAATAGCTAGAAACTAATATAGCAGAAGACAACCATATCAATTAAGATGATGTTAATCTATGCCATTCTTTCAGAAATATCTATCTATGTCCGTTTGACCTTTTTACATGTTAACATGTTGGACATTCACTGATAAGAACTAATTACATATGTGTATTAGAATGTATTTTCGTTATAAAAACGTTATCTCAATAGAATAGCAATCTAATTAATTTCGTCATTTGACATAGACGAAGATTGTATGATAATTTTAACTATTCAAAAACAATTTGTTAACATTTGAAAATCTATTAATTATGAATAGTTTTCTTTGAATCTGTTGCTTACTAACGGTCTATAATATGAGACTTGTTCTATCTATTAATTAGTTTTTATTTTATTAGAAGTAAAAGATTGAAATATGATCATATTAATTAGTTTTTTTATTTATATACAGAAATGAATACATGTGTTATCAAATGAAAGATTTACATATTGATATGATGATGATGATTATTGACGACGACGACGAGGACAACAGACAGCATAACGATCTTGAGGTTCGATAACACATTTATGTGTCTTTGGACAATCACGATGATTGACACCACGTCCACAAAAATATCCTTCAAGTGGTATTTGGTCACCTACACATTGAGTCTTCTTGCATGAACATATAGCACAACCATCTTTACCACTTTTATATCCATAAGGACAAGCCATACGACAACGTGGAAAACTACATGTTGCATTTTTACCTACTGCAAAGGCTACAAATAGAATTGTACATAGAAGAAAAACAATTGTAAAACGATGCATGATGAATTTTTCTTGACTGTTGTATGTTTATCTAGATGAATTAATCTAATATTTATACTATATTAAGTGACGAATGATCATGTCGACTGACATTATCGACGTGTGTTCATCTTTGTTTATGTCAAACTATAGTATGATCGAAATCATTACACAAAGAATAGTATATAATATATACGAATAACTGACTGATAACCTTCGATAGATATTTATCTCGTCTATCAAAAGAAGAACAGAAGGATCATTGCATTGAGAACAGTAAAGAATTATTCCATATCAAAGGTCACATGAGTTAAATAAAACATTTATTTTATTTCTATGATATTTGAAAACAAAAATCATAAATGAATTTTATTTTTTTCATTATCACATCGTGCTAAATTAAACACTACGAAATAATAATAACAATGAAGATCTATTCGAGCATGCAGTATATAATTAAAATATCAGTTTAGTTCAAAGTATTTTCTTTCATATATGGTGTTTAGAGTGTTGTCGAGTATAAGATCCGGTCGATAGATATAATATAGGTCGTTTTTCTAAGTATATATCTATCG